GGTAAAAGTCGAGTAAGTAAATAGTCAGAGGCAGAGTCAACAGCTGAGCCGACCTGGTGCCTTCACGGAGAAAACGGATGTCCTGATGACATGACTTTTCTCGGGTACTCTCGGTATTCAACTTGAAATTATTCAAGTCTGGCAACATTTTTAAGTTCCGAGTCCGATAAAATATTTTTTCCGAGATCGTCATGAACCCGCCATTTTCATGACTAACAAAAAAAAGAAGTTCAGAACCATTGGCTTGCTAACAAATTGGTGGCGATAGATTTGAGCAAAACATTAACAGTCGAAGGGAAAATACTCTTTTTAGCTCGTGCTATTTTCTTCAATATTTGCCACGTTCACTTTTTCAAACGTTATGCTGTATAATTTTGTCGGTGTAACAGCTACAATGTAAGTAACGTCATGATATGATTGAAACGTTCTCCACAAACGAATCGTGGAGAACGAAATACCCAGTGCAGACAAAAAATGTGTATAATAATTGGATGCAGTTTTTCATTATTCTTTGCATTGGAAAATAGATAATTCTCTAATTGAGCGCTTGAATCCTTCTCCACGAATTTTTATTTAAATTTAAATCCCAAAATTCGCAATTTATATACGTATTATGTTATATGTCCGTCGATAAGTCCGATCGTACGTCGAGTAAAAAATACACATATATACTTCAGCGTATAATTACAACGACCCGTTACGTACAAACGGCAAAGGAACATGCAAATGAAGTAACCACAACTCCCCGGAGAAATTAAAGCTGTATGTAGACTTTGCAGCAGATAATTTTGTTACCGCGCATTTAAATTTAAATTTTGTCCTAATATAGAAAAAAAGTAGGTTTTTAATGAACATTTTGCATTTTTGTCTTCTGCAAGTTCTCATTGGTAACCATTTGAATACGGAACGAGTTAAAGCGAAAATTGTTTTTGCATGTTAACTTTGTAGTTAAATGGCTATTAACACGGGAGCTCTAAAAGGAAGAATAAATTGTACGCGTCCTTTTGTGAAATTTTAACAAATAAATGTGTGCCGATAGAATAAAAGTGATAGAAGCTGGGTATGTAGGGAAGCTATTTACTAAGGATTGGTTAACCACAAGTTGTCAAAATCTGGCTTGTCCACACCAAAGTCGTTAATCAAAATGGGTTTCGTTCCTCCGACACACCTCACTACTGGGACACGAGAGGCTTTCTGTCAGCAATTTAACGTTAGGTACAATTTAAGAATGGAGTTAAAAGTAGTAGAGTTGGGATGTTCTTTTGCTGGGTTTGGGTGTCTTGAGTTATTAAGTTGTTTACAGTTGCAAATGTAAGTGGAAGAGCCGGCTCTGGACCATAAAACCCGTATTTGAGGCCAGCCGGGCTAACTCATCGGCTTTCTCATTACCATTCGTTCCAGCATGATCTTTGACCCATGCGAGCTCAAGGGTGTTGCTACTTGCCCTAGTGCGTGGTCACATTCGGACACCAACCTAGAGGTAATTTTACAACTCTGATTGGAATACAGTAGGTTCGCCTAGTGGTTGGGTGATATGGAAGTTCTTTGGAGTGAATACCAGTGCCTGTTCCTGCCATTGTTTTAAATCCATCTGTAAAGATGAATGTGTCTGGTTGGGATGCCATATCCTCATCAAGAAAGATAAATTTGTTAATCCAATCGCAAATAAATTAGTAGATTCGTCAAAATATCCTTTTTTCGGAAAGTGCTTGCCAAAAAAGGGTTGCCATTTGAAAATACTAGAAAATGTAATTTTGCCAAATTGTTTTATTTTTGTCTCTCATAGCCACGAAAACTTTGCGATTGTAATTTTCTGAGATCACCTAAAGTCCTTACATTAGTTTGGGTCCGATTTCAGGAAATTAAGCAGACAGTTCAGAAATTGTGAACCGGTGGCGCTCTTCAGTGATAGTAGCCATGATAAAACAGCGTTCAAATCAAAACTACGCCACGTAATCGCCATCCCGGTTGGTACAGTGACAGATAGATTACTGAACACAACTGCGGAATCCTTACGTCACCATGACATTGCCAACCTAACGGACCTTTAAAAAAATAGCCCTCGTATTTAATACCCATACCTTGAGTGGCGAAGAAGAACTATCAACCAACCCCACAAATTTTTAATTTTGTTCAAAATATTTTATGACGGTACCGTTTGCATTTGCGCATTGGTAGGGCAAGGGTAAGATTCACCAATTAAGAGGCGTATTCGTTATAATAGGATAGATGAAGCGCTTAATTTTTCACTGAAAAAGAGAAACACGTCTGCATTCGATAGCAATTCCATTATGGAGTCTTAGGGGTGAAATGTCTCGAGTCATGACAACGTATCCAATATCCACAACAAAAAGACAGAAAAATGCATCGAAAGAAAGACGTACGTAATATACGAAGCATGTCTACAGCTAATAAATATGTATAACACTTTATATCGTTGTAGACGAATCGGAATGTAGAATGCGCAACTAAAAATAAATTGTAAACAACATTTATTAACTTCACTCGACAACCCGTAATTCTGTTATATAAGCTTTCAGTTTAATCGAGTAAAATTTAATAACTTATATAATAAATTTATACAGGATGCTTTAGTAGCATCTCTCTCGCTCTGCCCCTTTTTATCAACGACGTATAATAAACTCGGTGTATAAATTAATCTGATGGCATGCGTCCTAACTTTTACCCTTATTAACTCTATGCATTGTTGAACTTTCGTAAAGTTAGCGAGCGTTGATGCAAAGCAGTTGATTAACAACTTTACAAAAGCTAATAGATATTCATTCGTCACTGTAAAATGTGTTTTAATAGTGTGACAATGCTCTAAAGGAAGTCGCGAAAAAGCGCTTCAATCATTTTCAGCGAGAGAAGCTTTTTGTGTGGAATATTTTTTTAAGGGTTGTAGTACGTAATACAACATCAACATTAATTTGAATGTGCCTTTGTGGAATGATGCTACACTTTGGGATTTATTACTCGGTGATATTTTCGTACGAAATGAAAGTAATCAAACTAAAAGCTGAAAGTTTAATTAACTTTTTTCATGCTGTACCCACCTTTGGGTTTAATTACTTTTTGGGTTATAGTATTCGTATGATGAAGACCATATCCAAGTGTTTTGGTTGTTTTTCATTTTCTCCAATATTTCCATTGTTTCGATGTCCAGTTGCTCTGTGTGTAGATTTATTCAATTCAACATAGAGAATAAAATCCCGCAGCAAAATATCAATCACGGGATTTGCAAGATTTTAAAAAAAAATTTTAAATGTCAGTCACTGCGGCCTCTAGGACAGACGCTCCGTTTCGGCGGCTACGCCGCCTCACCTCACCCAATTTTATTAAATCATCGCGCACATACGTCCAACCATTCCCCAAAGTTTCATCGCAATCGGATCGGTTTAGACAGGCATAAGAAACATACAAATATTCATTTTTATTTATAAAGGAAAGGAGAGCGAGAAGAGACAGTTAAGTTTATCTGTTCCCAACAGACAGTGTACACAAGAGAGTATGTACGAGAATTCCAGTCATTAAACTAAAATTGTCTTAAATAGTTTATCTAAGCGTATTTACGTGAATAGGGTTTGGTTGCATCTTTTCGAGGTAAAGTTATTTTCATAGTATTCCTTAATTCGTTAACACGTTTATCTTTAGGTTATGCCGGATGTTTTAATTTAATTACCTTTCTTTCTTTTACCGAATCGCAATCCGAAACCCATTTGTTATTGGGGTACGTAAATTTGAATTAATTGGATTTTAGGTTGATTTTGGCATTATAGTTTTTGGGTATATCTTTCGTGTAACGAGCATTAACACTCCTATCGATGGAGTACCGTTCTCTGCCATTGATTACATGAAAAAGAGAAATTGCTAACGTGCATTCAACTGTAAAGTGCCTTTTATTTATCTTTCTCGTTTAGCGTTATAGTTATTTACATAAAAGTCAGGTGCGAGGTACATTGGGGCCGAGTACTTTAATTTCCGAGTCAGATAATGTCATTTTACTGACGAGTTTTGTATTTAATTTTACCCGAAATCGTATTTCAGTATATTGTATAACATTTCAATTTGTACATAAAACAGTTTTGTCAATCTGTCAGTGATGACAAGAGTCATTATAGACATTTAGCAATGTCAAAAATGCGGCCGGTAAAGTGACAAGCGGCAAGAAACGTAGTCTGATCTGCCTCTGTTATGGAAACTGAAATTTCCTGACAGAAAGTAGGCATGAAAATGAAGGTTTCAGGACGATTTTGGGTAAAGGTAATTGGTTATGATAGTAGATACTATAAACTAAATGGGTAAAGGCTTATTTTCAGATTTCTTTTACTTATTTACCCAAAACAAACTTGTCAAGTTTGCGTATTTTAGAGAAAGTTTGAACGAAATAATACAGAAATCCAAGACAATAAACGAAAAAATGAGCAAATACACATTCAAGAAGCTGTACAATTTTTTGATAACTTTCCGTTCATTGGTATACTAATGGCATCTTATTTTGGAAACCCTTGCATTTGACAAAATCGGTACTGATTAGTGACGCAACACACGGCAGGCTGTAGAAGTATTGTAAGTAATAAAAGAATCATTTTTCAATGGGGAGATATAATATGACATCATTAAAATAAAAGAAGCTATTGTATTCCCAAAACTTTTATTCTTTAGCGTGAGTATATCTCCGGAAAGTGTAAAAACCGTGTTGTTAAATGTACGAGGGTGTGTGCGCTTCTATAAGGTGGAAATATTTCATATAACATTGGATATTGCCCTCGTATCCAAGAAGAAAGATTTAGCCTGCTGTTTGGGTTAAATAATACCCTTTGAAATGTGTACATAATTATTTAAAAGGTTATTACCTTCTTTACACTGATTAATCAATTATTTATTCGTCAGGTGTGATATCAATTGGCGGAAGTCATGCATGCTTAGACGAACTAAGTGCAACGCTGAATATCCCTTTACTTGTATATCGAACAAAACGTTTGAAGTACCAACTGTAACAGTTTTATTATTATATCAACATTTTGTTCGTATTTCCATTTCAATCACCCTGTTTATAACTTTTCTATTCTGTGGTAGTCACCTTTTGTAACCTTCACATTCGTTTATTTCCGTACCTGCCCGTTTTAATGTTGTATATTCCTATTATTGGTCTAAAAGCCAATTTCCGCTTTAGATAACCTATGTAATTTGATACCGTAACCATATATGGTATTGTAAGCTTCGATTGACCGCGTTATTGGTCGGAGCAAAACTTCGTTGTTTCATTGGGGCCGGAAATGGAAACATTCAGCGTGTTTTACTTGCTAACCCGAAGAGAACGGTCGTGCGGTTCATCCTGATTTAAGTGCTAATTTAGTTCCTGTTCATTTGTTTTCAACAATTTGGCGAAAGCATCTTTAAAAACAAGTGAACCATCATTGTACCTGCCATTTCTTTTTGGGCATGGTAACCATTTAATCCGAAAGGAGTTCTTCTAAAGGAACGTAAGCATAATTGTAAGTTCTCTGTGTGTTCGAATCCACACTACCGTTATTTCTATTTTAGGGGACCATTCTGACAACGATCGTAGGATAACTTCCATTCACTTTCGTACGTTCACGAAGCTCTTTTATTTTCCGTTGACTCTCTCCATGTAGAGGTTCGCATTTATTCTTGTGTAAAAACGTACCACCCATTAGTTTATTATTTTAGAGTTCACGTATTGGGGTCAAGAACTACGATCCGACTGTTTACCTGTGAAACGAAACTATAGACCACATTGTGTTGCGGATAAGGGGGCATAGGAAAGTAAATCGACTAAGTACTGGAGTGCAGTGTGTACGATCTAGCATCAAACCATTGAAATAACTTAATGGCCGAGTCGTACATATCTTGAAGCCGCTACCTTACTTCCGACACTTTGTGTAACACTTAGAGCAGCATTTGTCATTCAACGTGCAACCATATACCAGGACCTAAATATTGATCGTACGGTGATGTAGCATTGTTAAACCTTTTTGTAAATTTGTGTGTTTGCGTTTGACCCACCTCGGTGGTGATCAATTGCTAATTGGCCTGCATAGAGCCAAGATTATTACTGTTAATTGGTAAGCTTGACATTTTTGGGGTACAATATTTTAGCTAGTCAAAAGATTACTCTCGTTATGGAGTGATAACAATTTATGTAAGGTACGAACGAGCTCGTAAGAACCGAATAATTTCATTGCCCACTCAAGCTATAAATTAAGGTATCTATTTTCAATTTAATTCATTATTTTGCCACTGTAACGATATTTGTGTGTTAACTCCAGAGATTCTGGTGTATTTTATTCAACATTTTATGGGAAATTTTATGTAAACCCCTTCTTTTGTTAACTTTGGGAGGATTCATATTTGAGTTGCTGCTTACCTTAAATAAGATTATGAATTCCCAGTGGGGAATCTAAGTTGTGCAATTTTGAATTTATTTCATGGTGCAGTGCACCGAATAAAACTTTTTATTTGTGGGTCATTAGTTGCCTATTTTAAAGCTAAAGCTACCTTTCCTAGTTCCGGTAGTGTAAGCGAAACTTATATTGGAATTAGGTGGCGCCCAGGAAATTTACAAGAAGCCACAAAAGTAAGTAGTGAAGATTTATTTGGAATCGATGATATATGATGAGCCATTACCAAATGTATTAATTCTGTCACCCACTACCCTGTGTATTTGTCTTGCTCTCTCCGCTGTTTACTATTTGGTCAACAGAGCTAGCTGGCCGGTCAGCGGCGTGTGTTTTTTTTTTATTAAAGCACATGGTATTTTGTAGCGCCTAGCATTTTGCAGCTTGCGCGTTATACAACATAACATTTACAAGGGGTTTTCGAATGTAGCTTGGGAAGAAATTATCGCTGCAGATCAGGAAGAGGCACACATGGCCAGAGAAAAGGTGAAGGGGATAAAAACGGAGTTCCAGTTATAACTGTTTTGGTAGATTGCGCTTGGTCAAAACGTTTCTACAAAAATAAACAATGCGCTGTCCGGTGTTGCATGTATGGATGAAGAACTAAAAAAATAATATACTTGGGCGTAAAAAATAAATTTTGTTCAGTATGTGTTCACCAAGAAAACACTAAACGTAAAATACCACACACACGGACAGACAGGCGAACAGACAGATGGACAGACAGACAGACAGACAGCAATACAAAATTATAAACGATCTCGCGCACTGTTAATAATATCATTGACATTCACGATAAATTGAGCTATTGTTCATAGAGAGGACTAAACGCCATGGAAACGCATAGTAAAAATAGTGAAAAAGGTACCACTTTCCATACGATTTTTTTTACAAAAAAGGCCATGTAATTTAATAACTAGAAAAAAAGAACACTTTTCCTATCGAAACGAAACTTGTAAACGGTGTAATTATTACCTAACCTATATCCAAAGTTATATTTATTTCGAACGAAAGTGGCGTATTTTACCATCGAAATTGATTGAAAAATATCAATTTTGACACCTTTAGGGCAAAATACACAAGGTCATAAACCATTTATCTCTCTGGCATTGAACTAACTTTTGCACTTTTTCCCACCGAAATTGTTGTAAATATAATGGCTTCGAATATAATTTATAACGCACTCATTATTTATTTATTTGAGGAAAGAACAATTAGAGATTTATAAGAATGAGTAGGTACTAGTTTACGCAAATGGCCTTCATAACAATGAACAGAGATTTCTAATGTTACTTACCTACCGGCAGCAGCTTATTGCCCATTTATAAAAAATGTAGGTCTCCAGAGAAAATTGCCAGAGGACTTGATGTATTGTGGGCTAGCTATCATTGAAGTTGGAACAATTTCAAAAATTGCTATAATTTTGTAATATTAAAACCTAGGCAATAACGCCAGGAATATTTGTTTCCTTTTTTCTATTTCAAAATATGGCACCCTAACAGCCCTCCACGTTACCCCCAGAAAAAAATATTATTTCAATACATTTTAATAAACCCCGGCATTATTGTCTAGCTAAAACATTCACCTTTCACAGGAATATTCGACCCATTTTCCATCTTCCCTCAGAATGCAGATATCGTCTGGAACGAAATCGAGCGTTTTCGGGCGCAACGATACAGGTGTACTGTCCAGCCTTAAGTTTTAACCGAATATGATAGAATATGTTAGACCGAGAGTTAACGACAGACTTTTTGCGATGATTAGTAAACGTCTGTTATCGCAATTTTCGCTTTACATACGTTAAAACTAGCGTATAAACGTATATCATACGTCTGTCTGTTGAGCGGTTAGTGTTCTTTTTATTTAATTTTTTTAATTTTGATAGCACAAACAAAAGTTTTCTGAGACTTTACTGGGAATTGCTTCCTCTTAGTTCTGTTTTTTTAAATTCTATACACATGCGTAGAACTTATAGGGCGACATCATTTGCCATCATGTTGTTAGTACTAGGAGTAAATCTCTGATAGGTGGGGCAAGCTCTATGAAACGAACGAACAAACCATATATGTGATGGTTCTACGGGTAGTATCGATTTTTGTTATATACAGGGTGATTCCTATAGTACCTGCCACCGTTTGGGAGCGTATAGGGGGTGCCTAGGGGAAGTCTTTTCATATAGGACACTTGGGGTCGGAAATCCAAAATAAGGGCGCCGGAACCAAATTTATCTTCTGGAATTTCACGCCTGTATGTAGGCAACCCAACCGACCGACGTTTCGCGCGGAGCGATGCAGAGCGAGTTAGCGCACCTCCACGGCCGATCCATCTGTCCGGATAGGTTTGGTCCAAGTGTTCCCTCACCTGCCGCCCGTAGTGAGCAGGGCACCCATCGTGCTGGAACCAGTGGTCCCAGTACAAATTCACTGGAACATCCATTAAAAGTTCTGGTAGCACCTCGCGCAGGAAAATCAGGTAATTATGGGCATTTAGACGCGGAGGGAGGATGTAAGGCCCCAGTAGGTTGTCCCCCAGGATGCCAACCCAAACGTTTAAAGAAAACTTGTCCTGGTATCCTCGCGTAAACGTTTCATGAGGATTGTGCTCCGCCCAGTAGTGGCTGTTACGAGGATTGAAGGTCCCCTCTCTTGAGAATCCTTTCTCGTCAGTAACTAGCACGCTCTCCTCAGAAAGTTCGGATTAGCTTCTTCCTCCTGGACGACTAAGTTGCAGAATTCCAGCCTCCTTTCATGGTCACCCGGCCGTAACTCTTGCACTTTCTTAAACTTATAGGGGTGTAAGTTGTTTTTGTTGGCGATGTTCCACACTGTGTGTTGACAACCCACCTGATCTGCTACAAGTCGAGTGCTAGTACGCGGGTTTGCCTCGAAACGTTCCAACACATCCTCCTCTAAGGCATTTACCAACGGGCGATCGCGATCACGGGCGCTAGTGGGCTGCGAAATAGGAGGAGGTCGGTGTAAACAAACAAACTTTTCGAAATGGGTGCTTAAATGACCCAAGTATCGATGTGCATCACGAATCTGTGTGTAAAGTTAAGCCTCCGTCAGCTTACCTGCAATTGCCCTGTCTCGCACAGTCGGAAGTGAACTTCTTGAAAGACCTGTCTGCAGGGTGACTGACGGTTTGGATACCGCTCAGCGTACGCTCGTCGTGCAGCTCGTGCGTTACCATTTGCCAATCCGTACATGAAGTGCATGTCCGCGTATTCCGTGTTAGTAAAACGTGCCATAGTGTTTATTCACTTGATACCCGTCGTTGCAGACGGGATTTCGTGGGTTTAAACAAAATTCTGATCAAGTGTCAGCCACACATCGCCGCCTGAGATCGCTCCGTGTGCACCGCCGGCCGGTTGGGTTGCCTACCTACAGGCGCGAAATTCCAGAAGGTAAATTTGGCTCTGGCACCCTTATTTTAGATTTCCGACCCCAAGTGTCCTATATCAAAATACTCCCCTAGGCACCCCCTATACGCTCCCAAACGGTGGCAGGTACTATAGGAATCACCCTGTATAGAACCTATCTACACTATAAATATTACTCTAAACATTATTGGTATTTGAAAATAAATAACAAGGCGTAGCGAATTGAAATAAGATGCAAATGCGTATCATTAATGTATAATGCACTAAATCAAAACCCTAAAAATACGTGATATTGCTAAATCGCATATAAATCATGCATTCTGTGTTCGAGGTAGTACACTGCAAGATTCATTAATTGAAATAAAGAAATCAAACCCGAAAATAAAGCAAGCGAAAATAATGTCGGAATCCATGAGCTACTTCCTGTAAAGCGCACGAATAAAGTTGTGGTTGCAGCCAGATTTCCTGCTGAGAATCCCGCTATCAAGATAAAGTTATCATGCTGGTATATTGTCCTCGGGCTGTCTTGTTATTAACTTTGGGTTAATTTATTGAAGCTTTATATAAAAAGTATGGATGAGAAATTTGTTGTTGCGCGAGTTAGGTACATCCGTTGATAAAATAAAATTCCAATAAAAATATCAGCGGATGTAAGAGGCCGAAAATGGCGATTGTTTAAAATTGAAGGTAGAATGTCGGGAAAATTAGTTTTACCTTCGTCAAATACGTGCATTGACAGCATCGTCGAAGATAAGTACATAAATTGACCATAAGGGACACTAACGACGTTATGTCCATTTCCTACTAGCAACGTTCTAATATCATGCCCAGTCCTGCTAATAGGATGTTTGAGTTGTATCACTTCCTGTTTTTAATTGTATTAGCTTCCGGGAATTAGGTAGGAAATTCTCGAAGAGCCCTTTAACTATTAACCGTTATATAATGGAATCATAAATGGCAAACTACTTAGAGAACTTTGCCGATATTAATTGCGCGTTGCTCGATATACATTTTAGACGTATTAGTTAATGCACAATTACTGTTCAATATTAAATCAACATTACGTGACTGGATGAAAGAAATTTTTGTCTCGCACTTACCACAATACTCTGCCGTTAATATACATCTTCATTTCCAGAGTGTCATAGTGAA